AAATATATATTTTATTCAAAAATAAAATTATTATTGTTTTCTTAAAAATACATAAAATCGTATTATAATATCGATAAAGACAAATAATAAAATAAAATATTAAAATCGAGATATGTCTCGCTACATTATACGAATATTTTCTAGTAGATATAGATATAAGAAATTAAGTACTCATAAGCATCCCAAGTTAAATTAAACGGGTGAAAGAAAGAGAGTTGTATGTCATTTGAGTATAATATAGGGGCTTATCTGAAAATTACTCCTTACAAAAACCCTCTGCTTTAACTGGAAGAAGAGATAGACATTGAGAGGTGAAACGAACTGCTACGCTGAACTCATCTCTCTCTCTCTCACTACCAACAATGGCGGTAGCTCAAGTTTCTCCCTCCTTCTGTATCTCCACCGCCGGTACTCTCTTCTCTCTCTATTTTTTTAATTTCACGGCAGGAGATGGCTTTGTGGATTTATGTATGGTTTTTTCGTTCAAATCGTACTCCGGATTGGTGTAAACTGACATATGTGCTCGAGAAAAGACTCACAATTGTATGTGTTCTTAATATTCATGAATTTTTTTCAAGTGAGTTAATTCTGAATGTAGGTGTGTTACAGAGTATTTAGTTTATGGAATTTGATTTACGTACAGTAAATTTATACGTTTTCCTGATGTTTTGGTGTTAATTTCAGCTAGAATCTCCCCTGTTCCTCAATTTCCATCCTCTGCTTTGCCTCGGATTGGGACATCTTTCATTTGCGGTTCGCCCCTCGGTAAGTCTGTGGATTGTTATTAGTTCCAGTCAGTAGCTACATTCTCAGAAGATTTGTTGGAATCAGGAACTAGGTCATTTGGTATGGTAAAGCTATTACATGATGTTTTCAATATCGATGTGGGTATTTGAACAAATATTTTCTAGCTGTAGATTTAAAGAATTCATCAGTTATAAAGATTAAAAGCAACTCAGTTGAGTCACAAGTTAAACTGTATCTCTCGTTCTTCTTTTGGAATGGAGTGAGAATTATACCATTTAAAGCATTGTTAATAGAACAACTCCACAAACTATATTAAATTTCTACCTATTTGAATAGAATTTGGAGCATGGTGGTAAAAGATATATGGGGCTGTGATCTGATATCTAGATGTTCTTCAAAAGATAGCTATAGGTGCTAAACTTTCTCTGGATCATGGCAATTTAGGAGGGTGAGAGCTAATAACTAGTTTGATTTTCAGTGATGTGCGGAGCTTACCATCAGAAGGTGCTAGTACGTAAGGCCGCTGCATTTTCTGTGAGATGTGAGCAAAGTAGTAAGGATGGAAACGGTTTAGATGTGTGGCTAGGTCGCATAGCAATGGTTGGCTTTGCAGTGGCGATTAGTGTTGAAATATCAACCGGGAAAGGGCTTCTTGAGGTATGGCATATAGTCTCCTACTTCTGTTAATTTTGCTTGAGGTGTTGTTCTTATACACTTGTGCAATATGTCTATAGAAATATTACCTTTATTTTATCTACCTAACTTTGCTGCTTAAAAATGTCTATCTACCTCCCCCCCAAAACTCCCCCTTTTCTCTTTTCCACTTTGTAAATTGTAATGCGGACACAGAAACATTTACGTGACATAAGTACAACCAACTTCTTCCAAACCCTGGTAAAGAGATTAGGAGGACAATATACATGTTAATAATCATTCCACATTTAGAGATGCATTTCAGCTATTGTGGTCATACAGTTCAAATTGCAACTCATGTTTGACATGATTATGTTATTTATTTCAATGAATAAGTTCACTGTCAATGCTCCTTAAATAATATAACACGTTGCCCTTGTTTCTTGGTAAATTTAAATTAAATATTGTCTATTTCTTTATCCTAAACTTGACCCGTTTGACCACGGAAATAAAATGTACCATACTGGAGTTGGAGGAGTTTTCAGATGTATTGTGATTTGAAGGGGAAGAAGCTGGTTGTGTGTTGAATATTAATATTTACTACAGTCCATATTTGTGACGATCTTACCTAAGTGTGAAACTGATCTACAGGTTCACAACTCTTTATGCATGTTTTATGGTTATTATAAGCAAAATTATTTAAACTCCCGATTTAACATTCCACATCATCTGGGCCTTGCAGAATTTTGGGCTTTCATCACCCTTGCCAACAGTGGCCTTGGCAGTGACTGCACTTGTGGGCGTTCTTACAGCAATCTTCATCTTCCAGTCTGCCTCTGAGAATTGATAACACTGATACATAACTTGGTATTTGTAAAGCTTCTGTATTTATTTGTGACGAGCTGTTCTTTCTTATCTTTTGTTTGTTTATGTAACACAATCTTTAATGTTGGATGCCGACAATGATGTATGCATTTGAGAATCTACAAGTAATTGAGGACTTCCTCACCATGAGAACGTAGTAGGAGTCCTATTGTTGTTTGAATGGGTTTGTAAACAAATTCTACATTTAGTAAATATGGATTTATGAGTTGCCAGACAGACAGAATATATACCTTCGAGTTTGAAGTCTAGTCACATTTAGCTTCTTCAAATATTCAATCACAGATTCGAGCTTTGAGTTCATATGAAATCTCAATTAGAAGTTCCAGAAAGTGATTGCCTTTATGCTTGTGTACTCCTGGTAAGATTCTTATTCTCCGTTGCTTTCTATTTCCAACCTGTGTAGTACTAATAGCTTGAAGCACAATATCTTCCGTTCCTTTTCCATATGCCCTTTTCTTGTTCATACTTGATAATAAATACTTCTTGTTGTTTCTATTGTTGAAGTTCTAATTCAATATTAAGATGGGTTCAAAATTTTCTCGAGTCAAGCAACATCTTGCAAAACGCGACATAAAGGTTCTAATGCTAGGTCTTAATGATTCTGGAAAGACTACCATCCTATACAAGTTAAGGCTGGGGGATTTTGTTGTAACTGTGCCCACCATTGGTATTGATCTTCTTTCATCCCTTGTTTCTCTTCCAATTATAGATTTATATGCACCCCATTTTGTGCATACGATAAGATTTGCTTAAACTTACATTTATGAAGGGTTTAATGTGGAAGCTCTGGAGTACAAGCAGACCATGTTCACCGTGTGGGATGTAGGAGGGCAAGATGTGGTATGAACATGCAACCTAGAACTTATGCATTAGTCTTGCCTGCATGTATATATGTCAACAATAATTTTCTGTAAAAATGAAACTGTAGCCGAGAATCAATACAGCAGATTGCCACTAGATGGCCTATTTTTCTTCATTAGATCAATTTAAAATGTAAATTGAGAAGTAGAAACGTACTTCTAATTTTCTCATGCTAAATACTGGAGCTGTTTGTTGACAGATTCGGCCTCTGTGGAGACATTACTATAGGAACACCCAGGCACTAGTCTTCGTGGTGGACAGTAACAATAAACGAAGAATCTACCAAGCCCGAAATGAGTTGCATCGCCTTCTTAACGAGGTTTTTGATCATTTTGAAAAAAAAGTTCTTTATTATAATTTCATGGCTGCCTTATGTGTCGGCTTTTTTTAAATCTCTGTTTTGCCTTTTCTTGCAGGATGAATTGAGTGATGCAACAATACTTGTTTTTGCCAATAAGCAAGACCTGCCCCATGCTATGCATGTTTCTGAGGTTGCTGACAAACTCAAATTGCACTCTATTTCCCAACACCGGTGGTAAATACTCATTTCACTGTTAGTACACCAACGTATATTTTCTTTTTATGTCGAACCATCAAGCATGGATCACCACTTATTTTATGTGCTTATTATCTCATGTCATTGAGTTTTAGATACTTGGAACAGTGAGTCAAACAACGATTCTGGTTATGCATGCATGGCGATTTGTTGTCCTCCTTTGGCAAGGCATGATTTGGACTAGTGAACTTTTTTCAAAAAACAAAAACACCAAATGATTTAAATAGAGAGATGTCTTGGTTATTTCTACTCTCATGTTTATTATTGTATCTACAAATGTGACCTTTTTACCGTATGCTGGTCTTAGCTTTTCTGCTTCTACTAAGTAGAAGTCGGTATTAATCCATTGATTAAAATCTCACCCAACCAAACCGACCAAGTAAATCTCACTCGAAAGTAGGATCTTGAGAGGTAAGATGTATGTAGACCTGACCTCTACCTCAGAGAGTAAAGCAGTTATTTCCGTGAAGACATCTAGCAAACATGCAGAAGGAACAAGGACTAGCATATGGTAAACATAGAACCAGAAAAATAAATAAGAATATATAACGAGTGGGTCCAATGAAACATACAAAACGTAAAGCCTAATTGATCGATAACTGATATATTTTTTGTATCAGGCACATACAGAGTTCTTGTGCCACAACCGGGCAAGGACTTTACGAAGGTCTGATCTGGCTAACCAGCAATGTTCCAAACAAAGTGAGCTCGTGCATCTCTATCCGAACAAGCAGAATCTGTGAGGCTACCTTCACATAGCTTTACAGATTCAGTAATCTCTTGCATCAAGCGTAGAGATTATGACGATCGGCATCTTCATTTTTCATGTCAAAATTTGATTACAATCGAATTGCTTGAATTAGAGATTTGTTCATGGTTTTTTGGATAGAGAGGTATGCCTGGTTGTGGTGTTTGGACTACTTTCTTCAAACATTGATAAGCTAATGACCGCATTCCAAATGCAACAAAATATATGTATCTGGGTCAGTTTGGTTTACAGGATTGCTTTTGAGGGATTTGGATTGAAATGAATTTGAAATCATAAGCGTGTTTGGTTTGCAGGATTTGAAATGAAATTGGATTTCATTATTTATAAATAATTTATGACAATAATTAAATTATATTTTTATTAATGGATTATTACAAACAAATGTTGTAAACATTTTTTAAAACCTTATTGTATATAATCCTATGAAATCTCGAGCACTCTCTAAGGGTCCATTTCGTTTGTAGGATTGTTTTCAATGAATTTGGAATTCATGAAAAAATTTGGATTTGGAGGGATTTGGCTTGGAGGGGATTTTAAATCATGGTGTCTTTGGTTTGTAGGATCTGGAATGGAATTGGATTTCATTATTTATAAATAATTGATAAAAAAAAATTTAAATAATCGTAAAAATAATTAAATTACATTTTTATTAATCGATTATTATAAAACAAACATTTTTTACAACCTTATTGCATACGATAAAGAATAAAACGAAACGTTAAAATCGGGATATGTCTCGATGCATTGCACGAGTACCCTTTTAGTTAAATAATTATTTTATTATAGTATTTTAGTTTAAAAAAAATTAAAATCTTCAAAAAAAATGGCATTTTGATCATTTACCAATATTTCATTCCAATTACAAAGCTACATTATGTGAACCAAAGAGACATATTCAAATTCCTTAACAAATTTTATTCTAATGTCTGTCAACTAAACAGGTAGTCAAACTTGACAATATTCTATTCCAATTCCTTTAAAGTCAAATTCTTTTAACATATTTCATTTCATCCAAAAACATTATGAAAACCAAACACCACCTTAGAGAGATTAAAGGTATAATCAATGGTCTCTTGTTAAAATTTAAATGTGGTGGTGATTATGATTTTTAAACCACCTTTTTTATGTGAAAAGAATCAACGCCTTTTGTCCATTGGTTGTCGATCATCACTTTCAACTTTCAAGTGACTGTTTGGGTCAATTCAGCCCTGGTTGTTGGCTGGCTGACTCATTGTGGGCCCATCAATTTCGAGTCAAAGAGGGACTGAACGCCATTACATCGATATGTATTCAGCCATTTCAACATCCATCCGACCCTGTGGCTGTGGGCTGATCAATGTCCTTATAGCAATCTTCTTTCACGTTCTTGTCTGTACAGGACCCACGTACCACGGACAGACAAGGCTTATTACGTTCAGGAGCGAAGCCATAAAATGAAAATATAAGAATTTGATATGAATAAACAAAGTTTCAAGTGGGTAATTGAGGTTTGGAACTGTATCAAATTCCATTTTTGAAGTTTAAGAGGAGCCAATGTCACTTTTGGCTCTGAGGTGGCTCTGACCATGGCTACGTTGGAACGAGGGAGGACGGCAACGAGCAAGTGAGAAGATAGGTTGGCGATAAGGGTGCTCAAAAACTCGATCAACCCGAACAACCCAATCCAATCCAACGAGAAATAACTCAACCTGAAGCAACCCGATGTCTAATCGAGTTGTAAAACTTTCAAACCGTATGTATTGGGTTGCTATTATTTGAACTCAACCCAACCCGATGAACTCGATATCATTTTATTTTTTGGATTTAATATGATCGTTGAAATTCTATTAATATATACATTAGACAATTACACTATCGCGTACACTCTTCATATACACATATTTTCAATCTATTCACATCTCTATACAACTCATTCGTATATATGTTCAGTAAATGTGAACATATATATGTAAATTAAGAAAATTAACTGAATGTGATATACGTAAAAAGTATGGATAAGTTGTATCAAATGGTTGATGATGAAAAGAAATTATGAGTAGAAAAATAACATATTCAAGGTTAGAAGCATATTTTAATGTACCAAAGTATCAACCTGACTAACCCGTACGGGTTGAGTTGAATTGGGTTAAGATTTTTCAAATCGCAAGCATTGGTTTGGATTGTTCAAATGTCTTCAACCCGATCAACTCAACCCATGAGCACCCCTAGTTGACGACGAGGGAGGAAAGGTAGGGTGAAAGTGAGAGGGGAGTTTTAGGATTTAAATGATAAAAGTGGTATTTCGATAACTTAGCAAAAATAGTTTAATATCCTTATTTTTGTTTCACACTTTTTCGGGGCAATAACTGTATTATTGTCCCATTCAATCCCATTACATCTCGTTCCAGTCTTATAGAAAACACTGTGCGTTCTTACTTGTTGACGAAAACTTCTCTACTCATATCGTACATTTCACATGTTGCTTCATTTACCCCAAATTCCCAAACTCGGTAGAAGAAAATGCAACAAGCTAACCCATTGAGATATATTAATTTTGCATACAATTGGCAGCCATTCGACTCCATTTGCGTTGCAAGTGTAAAAGTAATGAAAATTGACTCCATATAGACCATATTGAGCCAAAAAAACATACGTAGGAAGAACGGAATTTTAAGTTAAAACAATTATTTGTGCCTTATTGCGTAAACAATTACCAATTGATACCAGTTCTGTTAAAGATAAAACAATAAGGGGTCGTTTACCAAACACTTACCCGGTAAGTGCTTACCGGTAAAATTTAACACTATTATTTACTTACCGAGTAAGCCACAAAAACGACATCGTATGCAACAATTTACACGGTAAGCGTTTACCATGGTAAGAGTCGTCGCCCTCACTTACCAGGTAAAACTCTTGGTCCTTGTCTTGCTCTTGGTTTTTACCACATTCATCTGGTGAAATAATATTACTTGATAAACACTTACACGGATAAACGTTTGATAAATGGCTCTCGAGTCAACCAAACTTCTTTAAATCCATAAACAATTTGGAGTTCAAAAGATCAGTGTTATGTCGGTAATGGAGTAGCTATGATTGATTTCTTGAAGTTTTCTTTTTTATTTTATTTATTTATTTATTATAAAAAAATATTAATAACATAATTATATAAGTCAAAATCATCAATTAAGGTGGCGTTTGTTTTTTAAGAGGTGCTGAAGTCTGAATTCACTTCTGAATTTTAAGATGTGGTGCTGAAGTCTGAAATCTGAATCAGTCAGACTGTTTGTTTTTACGTCTGAAATCTGAAATCTGAATCAGTCAGGTTGTTTGCTTTTACGTCTGAAGTCTGATAGTTCCAGAAGATCGAAGAACACCAATCGAAGCTTGAATCGAGCTAAGGGACGAGACAAAAACAGAGGGCGAGAGCGGATGTATGAAGAACACCAGCTTCAATCGATGAATGGGACGAGAAAGATCGAGATGTATAAAGAAGCAGATCGAGAAGAAACCAAAGAGAGATCGAGAAGATTACCAAAACACCAGCTTGAATCTGCGATGTATGAAGAACACCAGCTTCAATCGATGAATGGGACGAGAAAGATCGAGATGTATAAAGAAGCAGATCGAGAAGAAACCAAAGAGAGATCGAGAAGATTACCAAAACACCAGCTTGAATCTGCGATGTATGAAGAACACCAGCTTCAATCGATGAATGGGACGAGAGCGGATGAGAGCGACGTAAAGGAGGCGGATGAGAGCGACGTAAGGAGGCGGATAAACAAATAAGAGGTATTAAGAGCTAGGGTTACCACTTAAAAAAATTCAGAGGAAACCTTATGAATTCAGCTCTTAATTTGGGGAAAAAACAAACGATCTGAAAGTCTATATGTCTTACCGATTCAGACATAAGAGGAAATTAAGAGGCAAATTTAAAAAACAAACAGGCCCTAAGATTTATGTAATTAATATATTATCGGTAAAATTAACTATTTTCTCCTTCGTTTTTATTCAAAATTAATATTTTACGTCAATTAATTTGATTTAAACTTAGGGTCTATTTGTCAGCAGTTTATTGAACTTAATGGGACTCACAGTTTACTCGGTCAGTTATACATAACTGTTTGATAGTGACTTAATGATATAGAAAGTGTCTCATTCAGTAAACTTTCATAAGGAAAGCTTTATGCATAAGTCAATTTTTTTCAATTAAAAAAACGCTTAATCTATCTATGAAAACCTCTTCCAAACAAAAATCTTCATAATTTATGCAGACAAATTAATTCACATATACATCTTTATTTATACAGAACTTAATGAAAAACAATCAAACAACCCCTTACTTGATAATAATGTAATTCAAAAAGTATAAATACATGATACTAATACTCAACTAATTTTTTTTTCTGTTACAGAATAACTGGAAAAAAAAAAAACAACAATAGAATAGAGAGAATGAATATACAATTCTCATCAATCATAAATCATTTTTATAAGGATGAGTTACAAGTAGATAACTATGAAATATTTTACTTTTAATATAACTATGATATATATATATATATATCATATCCTTTAGACAATGACACACTTATCCTACAACATTTTCTAAAAAGTCAATGATATTTGATCTTGAGAGGATGGAACAAAATAAGTCTTTCTAGCAATTTTATTTTAGAAAATCTTGGTTACCAAAAATATATTCCATTTTATCATACCAAACTAATCAATCTCACTTAATCAACATAAAATATGTAAATATTCCTTTGTTATTTGAATATATGCTTTCTACAGTTGTATACAGAATCATTACCAAAAGCATCTCATTTCATATTTTCCCCCCCCCAACAATTATTATATTGAATTCTTTAAAAATCAGTATATCATGTATTATTTCATATGATTTTTTGTATAAATAGTTAAATTTAATATGGTGATCTCTTTAACGTGTTTTTGAAACAAAAAAAAATACATGTGAAAATTTTTTACATTGTGAACCGAATACATATGAAACAAACACGTTGTGAAATAAATTTATGTCAATTATACGTTAAATATTATATTTTGATCAGATGAAACAAAACATTAAGATAGAAGTTCATATAGATCTTATAAATTTTAGAGTTCTCAAATGATTAATAAACTTTAAAAATAATGTAACAGGTTATCCAATGTTATAACGGGTAAATTTTTGAAATAGCTGAAATTGTATTACATTGTTCAAATGACAAAATTATTAAAAGGTTAATGTT